TGTTTGCTGCGCGCACAACAGTAATTCTAGGCTAATAACCGGATTAAGAACACATAAACGTTTTCAAAATTGGATATCACGGTTAGTAGAGGCCCGGTCTTCAGACCGGGCGAGAGGGGGGTGCTCATAGCACCTTCCCCGATCGTACCAAGTTCCCGAGCCGAGGCCAACTTGGTGATGACGGACACGTGGCTTCGGCGCCGAGTCAGGGTTTCCTAAATTTCCCCATAAAAATATTTAGGTGGCGACTCTGTATCTGGCAAAGCAGTCCATGTTGTGGCACTACTTTTTCAAAAATCTGTTTCTCAAAACGATTTGCCAGATTTGGACTCTTTGGTTCAGATTAAGAACCGCGACAACAAAAATCGCAAGTCCGAACTGTAGTAGCATAAGCCCCCCTCCGCGGGCGCGTCTACACCTGAGTGGGGCGTCGATTGGCATTCCGTTGGGGTTATTATGGTCCTGGGGGCTGGTTGGGCCCCTCCTTCAATGTATTTATCCAGGTGACCTGCTGCCACCAACTCCTCCAGGTGTTGTCTCAATGGCATGCAATTTCAGTGCGGTGCCCATTTTCTTTGTGGAAGGTGCACCGTGATCTTTCGTCATAGTCCTTCTGAGCTTCCCCTAGTTTGGCTGGCCATCTGACGAAAGGCTCATCTCTTATTTCACTTAGAATTCGGTAGATCGGTTTCTTGAATACCGTGGTTATGGCCATGCGGACCCTCAACCATCTTTTATCCGGGTCCTCTCCATTGTCTCGCCTGCCACGTCCGTTTCTGTTCTGACGATCTACCGTATTGAACTTTGCTGAGGTCTTCTTTTCTGGTACTGTGGTCGTGCCAGACTTTATTTTGGCACGTGCGCCATCCTCTTCTACCTTGATGTGCTGATGCACTCTTTCCATCAAGGCTTCCATGGTGAGGGGTGGTGTCATGGTGATTGAGTCCCTTAGTCTATTCCCGACTGGAAGGCCTCTTTTGTACTGTGTAATGGCGAGATTGGTAGGGCAGTCCCCAATTTGGTTGAAATGTCTCCCAGTAGCGACTATTGTAGGACCTTAATGCTCTTTTTCGCCCATGTCAATGGAGAGTAGCTGGTCGATCTCCACTGGGGTTTTGGTGTTTGTTCTGAACCTTGTGACAAACGCCTCCGCCAATTGTGCCCAGGAGGCTATGCTGCCTTCTGGAAGTTTTTCAAACCAAGTCAAGCCTAGATCGCCAAGGCTTGATGGGAAGAGGATGCACATTAGATCCTCGTTTCGCCGATATACCGCCATAACCTGGCGGAAGTGGCTTAGGTGAATGTAGGGGTCCGTTTTCCCCTCGTACATAGTGAATTTGGGCTGAAGGAAGCCTGTAGGTAGGGGCGCGTTTTCAATTGCCGGAACGAACGGCGAGGTCTGCAGCCTTGCTAATGCCTTGTCCGTTGGTTCGTAGGCAGGGTGTGGCAATGGCATTCCAACGTCGACGCTTCCATACGATCGAGGAGCCAATCGTTGAAGGGAAGAAACTCTGCGAGGGTCGCGCGCCCTGGTGTCCTCCTTCCATCGTGCCTTTTCTTCCAGCATGATCCGCAAATCAGCTGATTTGGGCAACTCCGTTTGTTTGTATGATGTCTGGTGCGAGTGCGAGTGCGAGGGTCGGTAGGTACTTCTCTCTATGTAAGACCTCAATGATCTCGTTCTCTCAGACCGGGAGTAACGAGTTCTGGAGGTTCTAGACTGAGTATCGCCTGTCCTGAGGCTTCTACTTTCTACTTATGATGGTGTGGAATATCTTCCATGGTCTTCTGAGCGGCGAGGGGGCGTCTTGTTTTTGCGCCCCTCTCCTGTCGCCATTCCTTTTTCCTTCATCTTGCGCTTCAAGGTCTCCATGTCCGCCGCCATCTTCCTTATTAATTCGTTTTGCTCCTTCACGCGGTCCTCCAGAACTTGAGGATCAATCCTCCGCCTTTGTCTGTCAGGACTTTGTGAATGAGAGTGATGGGGGCTGTGAGTCCGCCTCCCCCTAGTATCTCTCCTGGAGTTATGTCGTTGGGGCTCTAAGTCCGCCATGGGAGGGATAAAAGGTAATCCTTCGCGCCTTGTATCCCCATCTGGTGTTTGCCCGTCGATGGCGGACTGTGGTAATTCTTCAATGTGCGCCATTGTTCCTAAAGAGGTAAAGCTTGATCAAGAGGTTTTGTCCTGTCTGTTCTTCCCACAGACGGCGCCAAATAAAGCTACCGGTCCCCGTGCCTTGCACATATTGTCCGCTTTGGCATTCCGACCGCACGGTTTTTGTTCCTCCCCCACTGGGGGAAAAGGCCTATGCAAGGTAAGAGGAGCCAACCTACTTATAAGGTGGGAAAGTAGTCCCTTACAGACCGATGTGGGATTTCCCGCACATTAGCCCCTAGCCGCGCTGGCTCCGGTCACCCCGGAGGGAGTTCCTACAGACGGCGCCAATTGTACAGGAAAAGAATAAACCTTCTTATATAATCCTGTTGATCAAGTCTGCGCTTCTCCGTACGTTGTCGCTTTATCACCTGAAAACACAAACGTGAGCTAGCCGGCGGGTGTGTACCGGAAACCTCTCCGATGCCTAAGTCAGTAAGCTTGACAAATAGCCAAAAGCTCTGTGTATTCAGAAAGCAAAGTTGTGTTACCTCCCCAAAGGTGATGTTTATGAGCTTTTATAGGTTTCGTGTGGCACAATCCTAGTAGGACTTCTACTCCTCCATGCAGAGTCCTCCTAGGATTCATACTCCTGAAAGATAATGCTTATCCTTCAACACCTCCCTCACTGCTTAAACCAAGTGAGATGGTTTTTACCATGGCCGAACTTCAATATGACCGAAGTAATCATGGTCATGCTGAGTCGCAGAGTAAGCCGAACTATCCTTAGTTCGGTTCTTCCTTTCGCTACACCTTATCTCGGTTCTCTCATGTACAAACCATGGTGTGATCAGACCGAGCTACCAAATAGTAGGTTCTAACCGTTCTAGCCATAATACGCCATGATCGGGCTAACTCTGAGACCGAACTAACTTCAAAGTGTCTTTAGACCGGACTAACTTCAAGTCTCCTCCGGGCCGGACTAGCTTCGGGGCTCTTAGACCGGACTAACTTTAAAGCCTTTTTACTCAGCCCTTTGTTTGCGGCCCATGACGGCCCATTACCCAGCTCGGCCCAATTTTCATATAAATTTCCCTCTCAGCGTAAATGAGAGATGTTTGTTGTAATGAGGGATTCTTTCGTAATTCAATGGGAACCTTGACTTGTATTATTGTTGTATTTATTCAAGAAGGAATAACATTATTGTTACTCCATGTAATGAGTAGTTGTAATTATAATTGTAGTTAATAAAATGGACTTGTACGGAAGGTTTTGGTTATATTTTCGAGTAATAAAACTTGGGGCGTGACACGTAGCATGTATTCATACTACATGTGCTTGGTGACCGAGTAATGAGGTGAGAGAATGCATCCCTATTTCCTCACCCTGTGAGTCTTACGTGTCATTACTCATATGATTTTTACTTATGTACCCTTTTGTGACCTTTGACTATGTCATAAGGTAAGGGATTGATGTTCTACTACTTTTGCATGTTGCCTGCGGTCATGTATGATTCGGCCTTAAAGGACATCACTGGGAAAGCGATCAATCCTAAACTAAATGGCATGAAGGCGAAGGGAAGATCATCTAGTATTACATCACTGTTGTATATTCATTGTCGGCAACTCACATCGCTCTGTATGAGAGGTAGATTGAGTGTGAATATATTTCAAGAATTGAGAGGGTCAAACATGCTCTTTTGAGGGATTAGAGATGTTTTTTTTGGACCGATGTAATTAGAAGAGTCTGGGGCATAGGAGACACTATTTCTATTCTTTTTGGGTTGATGTCCCTATGCTGGCTCATTTTGAGTTTCTAGAATAGAGCTCCTACATGCAGGTATTCTCAACGGTCGCACGGTTTATTGGCCAGTATGAGATTGTTCAATATTTGGGGAGATTGAGATAGAGATATGGCTGTGTCATGCCAATTCATGTGCGGGTGAGAGATGTTGGAAATTGGGCCGGGTATTGGACCCAGATTTGGGTGCCCATGTGGCATGACCCATGGCCCATTCAAATAACCCATGTAATTTAAATTTGATTTCCTGACTATCCCATTTGTTAGGATAACTCACTATTTATCTACATCTATCCTATCCATAGGAGATGTGGATAGATGGTTAGAATCTGGCCTATATATACGGTATATGGGATGTGGGGATGAATTGAATAACGAATATTTTTTCCATACTCTCTCTAACTCTCACCCATTAGAATAACGATACAACCGTTGTACTATGAATAAAGTGGGCGATACTCATACTGTGATATCACTCCATTGTTGGGTGTTCTTAGTTCGTGGTTGTGAAGCATGTAATTTTCCGACAAAGTTCTTCATTTCGGATTCTATCACATAATGTATGGTTTGGATCTTTTTATCCGCTATGTTGTCTGCATCTTACAATATGAATGATGTTTGAATAGATGATTGATTGCCTACTCTGAACTATATGCAATTTTAACTACCATTTCATCTAAAAAATTAACGTCATTAGTTAAATCCTTCACAAAGTGAATGTGATACACAACATCATATGTTGTGTTGCCATCAAGTGGTACAATAACGTCTTGTAGCAGCAATTTTGGGCCATTTTATGAAGAATTGCCAATATCGACTGGGTCTAGCTGCGTCCATACCACACAACTTTGGAATGAACTAAAATCACAAAGTGCACATTTAATAAATTGAAAGATATGTTCACCGCAAAGGTTGCATGAGGAATCATGCTTGGGGAAGTCAACAACAGTGAGGTCGTGTGGGTGGCATCCAACCCTGACTTTTTTCTCCATACCCAATGCTGCAACTAATAAAAGGCATTTCCAATTAAGGGAATCACTGTTGTCGTGGTCGTTGTTGTTGTCATCAGACTCAGTACTGTGGTGATAGAACCAGCACTTTTGATTTATTTCTTTGTTGCACACGTCACAAAAATTTCATCCTTATTTGTGGAATAGGTTAGAATGAAGCTGAATTTGTTGCAGTTGGAGACTTTCTGGGCCAGTGGCAACGAGGCACATTGAGTGTATAGGACAAAATTGCAACTGTCACATACAAGCCCAAACTCAGAACAAGGATAGTTACATGCAGTACAAAGAACATTGCTCATTTCCTTTGGAACAAGAGTGTGCATATAAGATTCATGTCGAACTTCTTGTTGTAGGGAATTAACCGGGCGAATACACTCTGTATGAAGATCCTGATTGCAGTCACCACAGTGGTAAAACCAACAATTTGGTTTTATTTCTCCCTCACAAATTTCACAGTAGTATTCATCCTCATTGCCATAATCCCGTAAAAAGAAAGGGTGTTTGTCATATCTGTGCCTAACTGTAAGCGGCAACACGGCACATTGAGTGTGTAGCTTGAAATTGCAAATGTCACATACTAAACCGTACCCAGAAATTCTTTTATGACATGCAGTGCATATACCAATTGCTATTTCCGATGGGGTAAGCAAGTACGGATGAGTATTATGCATGATACTGCCTAGTAGGATGGAAGCACAGGTAATGTCATTAAAGAAATCACAAGATACACAACCAGGCAAAAGCCCCTTGCAAGACATTTCACATGCATGGCACATGAGGGGTATATCAGGATATTTGGACTGCCATCTGTTCAATATAAACAGGTGGTATGGGCGAATCAGGTGTTTCATCTTGGAGGGCAACTTGGCACAACATTCATGGAGAGTGAAATTGCATTTACTGCAACGATAGAAAGGAGCTAAGATTGGTAGTGTGCGTCCATCACATGCAATGGGAGGATGATTCATAATTGATCTTCTTGTCAACAAAAAGTAATGGATGACCATGATTAACACGGTAAATCTTTTTCTTTCACTTCCTCTGTATGCCAATCTTCTTCATCGAACATGTTACCAAATTATTAGACACATCAGGCATTGGCAAGGTGATGAAATTAGGCTTAAATGCTTCAACTCCAGAAGCTATTTCTTGGTCCATTTGTTCTGTTTCGCAATCACTGAGATGACAAAATTAAGAATGAAACTCAAATAATAGTAAATACAACAACAATAAAATAGGTTTTTTAAAAGAAATGAAGCTAAAAGGTCAAATCTGGAGAGCTTTGCCTTTGATGTCAAGCAATTTACATGGGCAAAATATTTGGATTGGGCACAACAATAAGCCCAGTATGCTCTCTCAAGGTTTTTAGTGCAAATTTTGTGATAGGACATGAATCTGAAATGTTCATGAAGAAAAGAATAGGTGAGGTTAAGAAGGAGATGGTGATCACTATAATTAATGGTGCTCGGTAATAAAGCATATTTTTGGTTGACCCAGAATTGGCAAGTGGTACATTCATAGGATATGCTTTCATGTCTGGTGGCACAAGCATTTCATAAAAACAAAGTTGGCCTCTGAAGGGGAGTCAATGTGTGTTTGTGGCATTTGTGTTCAATCTTCCATGCCATCAAAGCACCCAATTCATCAAGATAGAACTTATTGCAATGGGAACAACTGAAGGTGAAGCCCTCTTAAGGCCGTTATCAAGCACTGCATTCGCAATCCAACTGAGGAGGATTTAGAAGCAAGACAAGAGGTTGTTGAGGATGTATAGGATGTTCCATCTCTCTAGGTAATTCTGCACAAACTTTGTGCAAGGAGAAATTCTGACAATGTTTGCACTTGTAGCAAGCACCACAGGTTGGTTGCTGACATACATAGCTTGTGACTTCCAAGGCATCATCCTTGTACTCTTCCTCAAGGATCAATAAATGTTCATGACTAAAGTGTTCAATTTCCGTATCTCTCTGAACAAATCTTGAATGAAAGTGGTAGCAGAACTGGAATCAACGAACAACATAACTGTCGAACTAGTGGTTCTGTTAATAAATTTAAATGATCAATCCTTGTGTGCTTGACTTAACAAATTGTTCAATGAAAATTCAACTAAGCATTAATAGCACCGGGGAAGTTGTGACCAACGTTTTGAAAATCACACTGCACAGACCAGTTTGACTAATTGACCCGTTGACCTATTTAGATACACCCATAAACTTGTTCTGAATTAAAAACCGTCTTCTATTGATTAAACCGACCAAACCGACAACTGAACTGACCAATCAGCTGAACTGGCAACAAATTTAAGGAACCAATGAAATTCGGGCCTCCAGTACGGATGTCGAAGTGTCTAAAAAATCTCCATTCAAGGGGCAAGCTCAACATGAACCCTTGTTTTTTTTTTTTTTTGGGTGACAACATCACTCCTTGTTAATAAGTACCAAAAATATATTGTTTAATGTATTAATGTGTTTTCTCCCCAAAACTAGCATAATTAATATTTTACAAACAATATCAGAGAGTTAGATTTCTCTCATGTTTAAATTTAAATTAGAAAAATTTAACCATTTCAATGATCTAAATTGTTTATTTTGTACGTGATTTTTTTCCGTTCAAAGTTCCAAAAGGACCAAATCAAATAGTAGATGATAGTGATGGATGATAACTTTTCAATTTTACAAGCATATCCCCATAAAAAAAAATATTATACATACATAGGCCTATCACAGCCAAAACTTCAATTCAAGGCTACCAGGTTTTAAGAACTCTGCTGAATTGGCAGATTAATTTATTTATTGAAAACTTTCTTCAAAGAATATGTAATTCAGAACCCACAACCATATGTATACAGAGAGAGAGAGAGAGAGAGTAAACTAACCTATCGTGGCAGCACTGGCCAGCGACAAGTGTCTTGTAGGCTAAGAGAGGATTGAAAACAGAGTCTGAAAAAATAAATATGGAGAGAATAATTGACAGAGCAAACAGGCTCTTTGTTTTCAATTGTATTAATCCTTACGGGGAGACTCCATTTTATAGGAGTGATTATACAACATTTGCAAGACAATATAATAAAAAGCTACTAGACAACATAATGAAACAAGTGTCTTGTAGGCTAAGAGCGGATTGAAAACAGAGTCGGATTGTGTTTTTGAGAAATTGTGGATGATGAACACCCTTTAAATTACTATATGATGATCATCTTTTTCCAATCCCACTAGAGGATAAAGGGATTCCCATGCCACCTTTTCGAAAATAGTATTTCATTTCTCATGTAGATTCTGTTTGATTGCACTTTTAATCATGAATAATAATAATAATAATAATAATAATAATAAATTTTACTCAAAAAATTATTTAAAAATATCAATATGTAATCAAGAAATTCTAGATCAGACTTACTGACAAAATAAAACTTATTTATAATAAACCAACTGGGTATCTTTTGCACTACGTGGTGTGCGTGAGTTTTATATCTTGGAGGCAGCTCTCTCCTGTGTACTTTGTGGATTAGACAGTGTTGTTATGTGTTGGATATGTAGACAACCTTCAGTAGAAAATTCAAGCTGTCCAATTTTTTTGGGTCATGTATTTTTAGTTTTGGACCTACAAGCTTTACCCTATATAATGTAATATCATTGTTCACGTTTTTAGGATTAGAGAAAAAGAGAGGCTCCTGTAGTTTTTAGAGAATAAAATAGCAAGGAAGAGTGTTTATAATTGTATAATCAATATAATGAATTGGTGTCGCTCCCGAGGACTTGGGCATGTTGCTGAACCTTGTATATTTGTGTGTCCTTGCAATTTTTATTTTATTTTATTTTTTTTTTTTTGTGATTCATAATTTTTTCCAAGATCCATAGGGTTTAAGGATTGAACGTGTTCAAATCCCAACATTAAGGCCCATGGGATTCAACATGGCTCCGTTTTGATAATTCAAATTGTTCGTTTTGTCAAGCGTTTTGTATATTTCATTCGTAAAAAAATTAAGTTGATCTGATAATCGTAATCTATTCAATTTATTGCATTTGTCACAAAAAAAAAAAATCATCTATTTTATTTATTTTTTTTTTTTATCCATAATAATAATATGGGACAAATAGAAATGTGAGAACTCTCACCAAAAAAAATGAGTAACCTTTAAAGCTTGCCACTTATTTACAATGCTAGATAACTATTAAAACAACCCAGAACCCGTACGACTTCATTAGTTGGGCTGTTTTTATCAAATTATGGCCTTTCAATTCCAATTTACTGACCTCGACCCACACGCTTATTTACTAGATAGCAACTCTTCAATCGATACGAGCAAGGATCCTCTAAAGTTTTTTTTTTCCTAGAGTTTCCTAGAGTTGTGTGTTGTATGGTTAAGATTTAATGACAAGTCACATCAATTTTTTAGCATTAAATCTCACCCATACAACACACCGCTTTAGGAAACTTTAAGAAAAAAAAACTGAGGATCCTTGGTGAATCGATACTCCAGCAGGGGCTAATCGCGGGGAGATACGAAGTTTTCTATCAATTGGGTCTAGCCACTTTAGCTTACCCATTTGTTGCAGTTCTAAAATCCTCTGGTTCGCCACATTACGAGCACAATCAAAGTGAAGCCAAAAATTACAAGTTTCGCATTCAAATCCCTTATTTCTACCTTCAATTCCCCAATAATGTCCAGCAAGTTTACCACAACTGTTGCACGAGGAGATATGCTTAAGGTCTTCAACATAAGTGAGAAGGTGTGGGTGACTCCCAACGTTGAGCTTGTCCCCGATCTTGATATTTGGATATTCATCGATTTGGATGCATATTGTATGAGCATATTTGTGGGACTTACCACCACAGCTATAAAACCAGCAGTCCAACATTTTACTACGTAATGCACCACCACAAATGGCACAACAAGGTGGACTACGAGGGCTATAGTAGGTTCCTTCGCGGGAGTAGCTTAAAATGAAGGGAATTTCATCATTTCTGTGCTTAACTGTATGTGGCAAGAAGGCACATCTTGAGTGTATCACAAAATCACAACTATCGCATACAAACCCAAACCCAGAACAATTATACTTACACGCGGCACAAGGAACCTTGCTTGTTTCCTTTAGTGCAAGGGTGTGCATATGAGCTTCATGGGTAATAAATTGTTGTTGCAAAGAACTAACTGGACTAATGCATTCTGTATGTAGAGATTGATTGCAATCACCACAATGATAGAACCAACAATTTGGGTTTATTTCTTCCTCACAAATTTCACAGTAATACTCATCCTCTGTTCCAAAGTACAGTAGGGAGAAGGGGTGTTTGTCATATCTGTGTCTAATTAATAAGGCACATCGAGTATCTAGCTTGTAATTGCAAATGTCACACACTAATCCGACCCCATAAAACTTCTTGTTACATGCAGTACAAAGAACACCGTCCGTTTCCTTTAGGGTAAGGAAGTGCTGATGAGATTCATGCATGATATTACCCAATAGTGAAGCACACCTAATGTCAAGGAAGAAATCACAGGCTACACAACCAAACAAAATCCCATTGCAAGACATTTTGCAACCTTGGCATTGTGGTAAATGATCAGAAAATATTGAATGCCATCTGTTCAATATGAGTGGGTGGTTTGGGTGACATGGGTGTTGTACCTCAATGGACAACTCGGCACAACACTCATGGAGAACGAAGTTACATTCAGCACAATGGTAAAATGGGGTCAAGATTGGTTGAGTGCACCCATCACATGCCAACTGTTTGCTCTTGGAGCATGATTCATTATTGATGTCAACAAAAAGTAATGGATGGTGATGACTAACATGGTAGATCTCCCTCTCTTTCTTACTATCCCCATGGATGCCGATCTTTTTCATAAAACGTTCTATTAGATTAATAGACTCATCAGGCTGTGGCAAGCTAACCAAATGGGGATCAACTTTTTCAACTCTAGTCTTTCTTTCTTGGTCAATTAGTTTTATTTCACTTTCACTGCAATCACAAAATTAATAATAAAATGTAAGTAGTAGTCGTAATAAATACTACTACTACTACTACTACTAATAATAATAATAATAATAATATAAGACAAACCTGGAAAGCTTTGCCTTTGATGTCAAGCAATTTACATGGGCAAAATATTTGCATTCGGCACAATAATAAGCCCAGTATGCTGTGTCCACAAATTTAATGCAGATTTTGCAATAGGACGTGAATCTGAAATGTTCATATGAAAGGTAATAGGTGAGGTGAAGAAGATGATGGTGACCACTATAATTAATGGTACTTGGTAACGAAGCGCAATTTTGGTTGACCCAAAATTGGCAAGTGGTGCATTGATAGGATGGACCTTCATGTCTAGTGCCACAAGCATCACACAAAAACAAAGCTGGCCTCTGCAGGGGAGTCAATGCATGTTTGTGACACTCGTGTTCAATCTTCCACATCATCAAGGCACACAATAAGTCAATTTCAAACTTGCAAGGGGAACAAATGTAAGTGAAGCCCTTACAAGGTCTTTGGCAAACACTGCATTCACAAGCCGTTTGAGAATGAGAAGGATTTGGGAACAGAAAAAGAGGGTGTTGAGGGTGCATGGGATGTTCAATCTGTTTGGGTAATTTTGCACAAACTTTGTGCAAAGAGAAATGCTTACATTGCTTGCAATTATAGGAAGGACCTGAGATTGGTTGTCGGCAACCATAGCATGAGACTTCCACTCCGTCACCCTTGTGCTCTTCCTCGAGGATCAGTGGATGTTCATGGCTAAGGTGTTCAAGCTCCATCTCTATCTTTGAGCTAGTCTTCAATGAAAGTGATGGCAAACTGGTCATTGAGGTAATGAAGTTGATGAGAGATATGAGATCTCTCCAATGGAGAAATTGATGCTTCCTATAATCAGATGTACCTTTTGTGACTTTTAGGTCTCTCCTTCATATCTCTCTCGTAGGGAGAAGGGTGAAAGTAATGACTGTTGTTGTAGTATTGATTGATGCTTTGCTTTCTTTTTTTGTTTCTGTTTTTATTTACATCTCTTTCTCTCTTTTGCTTTTCCTTTATTTTCTTTTTATTTTTAACTCGAAAGTGGGATTCAATGTAGAAAGAGTGAGCAATACTTTAAATTACGTATTACAATAAGGATTTTTGTTTATGAATGACTTATAAGTAAAGAAATGAAATGATAGGCAAATTATACTATTAGTTCTTACATTTTGTCCTTCGCATTATTTTGGTCTCTATACTTTTAACGGGCTCAATTTTAATCCTTAATTTTAGATTTTGTATCAATTTGGTCAAATTGAGAAAGCCGTTAGGATTTTTGACATAAAATTATTGTTGAGTTGGTTGAAATTAATTTATTAAGTTAAACAAATTTATAATTTTGCCTTTAAAAACATAATACATGCCGTTCATGTATGTATTTTTCATAAAAATTGCTAGAATTTATAATTTATTGGACCAAATTGAGTTAAAGTCATAAGTTTTAGGTCAAAATTAAGCTAATTAAAATTGTAGAGATCAAAATGACACAGCAATCAAAGTATATAGGAACTACCAAATTATACATTTTTATATACCACGTATTGTTTTAATAAATATAGAATAATTCGAAACTTGTTAACTTGTGCTTTTGCATCATTGATTAATAAAATTCTTATAATAATAATTCTATGAATACAGAACTAATGCAAAATTAATCAGAAAAATACAATTGGAGCAACATGAGCAGCACAATTTCTTCAGTGACACATTCCACTGACTAATGTGTACAACCATTATTGCTTTCAATGATCAATTTTTTAATTAGTTTTGTATTTATAAAATTATTGTGGCGTATTGTTGTATTTATTGAGTTCAAAGGGGTCATAAAAAGAGAGAATTATACTTTGCCCTTGTTTGTTTTGCTACAAAAGGAATTTTATAATTTTTTCTTTCTTACCTGAGTTCTTTCTGGTCATATTATTTTAGTTGGTTTTGTTTCAAATTTCAAAATTTACAAAATTTATAGAATTTTACAAATTGCAAACATATTGTAGTTTGCCTTTGTTTCCTTTTTGCTACAAAAGAATAAGAGTAATATTATAAAAATTGCCAAATTTTACTAAATTGTTCTACTTGAGTTGTTTAGATCATATTATTTTAATTGGTTTGATCTTAAAATCTAAAATTCTATTATTACGTTTCACATTGGTAAGTAAGAAAACTTTTTAAACATTGCTAATTTGTCAAATATTTTCTAAAGAATAATCGTAAGTAGCTTTTTCTTTTGCTCTAAACTTTGGTTGGAAGTTAGTACTTGTATACCTGGGCTGCAGTCAAGAACTTAAACATTTATGCTGTGTTTGCTGAGGGATTTGAGGAGAGATTTAGAAAGGAAAATGGAAAAGATAGGTGGAATGTGAATAAAACATACTTATATTTCACTTAGTTTCACACACTTTTTTCCTTTTCCTTTCTAAATCCCTCTCCAAATCCCCCAACCAAACACAACATTAGGATAAATTATACTGACACCCTTTAAGTTTGACTTGATGATAATTATCTCCTTGACATTCTAACAATTACATTTTTCTCTCTAAAATTTAGAATCACATTATAATTTCATCCCTCGGTTAGTTAACTATTTAATCAACTAACGGAAAGTGCCGAGGTAAGCAGTCAAAACTTTTAAAATTCCTATTTTACCCTTATTTATCATATTCCTCTCCATCTTCTATCTCTATCACCTCTCCCAAAAACAAACTTGAGACCCACACCCACCTTTTTTTTATATCAGAGAGACCCACACCCACCTTTGCCTTACCCAAACAGCCACCATTGTTAACCCCTTCACATTGAGATCATCATAGACCTGCAACAAAAACTCATTTTATAATTTTGACCAAAACATCAAAAATAAAAAGGAAAATATCAATTCACTGTAGTTTTATAAAATTATGTTAAAATTAATGATAAACTATATATACATTAAACTATAAAATCATAAGTTTTTTCATTGATCAATAATTAAATTTTGAAAGTACCACCGTTTTGTAATTGGCCCAAAATTAAAAGTCCCAAAAGTTCACAAGGTAACACACAAGAATTAATAAAGTCAATACATCTAACATTACACTAATAGTAAACCCTCAAAAAGATGTATAATATATATAAGTTATTATATTTGTGATATTATAACTCAATTTTTTTCAGTCACAACTAAAAAATAATAATAAGTCATAACCAAATATCAAATAAGATATAAATAAAAATATTTTCAATCACAACCAAGATAGTAATTATAATAGATCATAATCAATGTCACAACAAGTCATAACTAATATCACAATTAGTCATAACTAAATTATAATTAATATATAATAGGCTATAACCAAAGATCATAAATATTATAACTCTAACATGTGATACATACTTCAAAAGGAATTTATAATTTTTTTCTTTCTTACCCGAGTTCTTTCTGATCAGATTATTTTAGTTGGTTTTGTTTCAAATTAAAATTTACAACATTTAGAATATTACAAATTTCAAACATATTATAGTTTGCCTTTGTTTCTTTTTTGCTACAAAAGAATAAGAGTAATATTATAGAAATTGCGAAATTTTACAAAATTGTTCTACTTGAGTTGTTTAGATCATATTATTTTAATTGGTTTAATCTTAAATTCTAAAGTTCTATTATTACGTGTCACATAGGTAAGTAAGAGTACTTTTTAAACTTTGTTAGTTTGTGAAATATTTTCTAAAGAATAATCGCAAGTAGCTTTTTCTTTTGCTCTAAGCTTTGGTTGGAAGTTAGGAACTTGTATACCTGGAAGTTAAGAAGTTAAAGCATTTATGGTTAATTACATTTTTATCCCTAAACTATCACCATTTTGTTTATGTACTCCTTAAACTATTAATTTTGTCTTGTTGGTCTCTAAACTATCACATTTTGGTTCTGTTTAGTCCAAATGGTAGATGGCATCGAAATTGTTAATGGCAAAGGTGAAAACGTGAGATTCAAAATTGGTAAAGGGGTAAAATAGATTTTTCACCTATATATTAGCATTTAAAAAAATCCAGTGGAGGAAAGTTCCTGCCAATTTCATAGAGTATTGAAAGAAAGAAAGAAAAAAAAAAGAAAGAGGAAAAGATGAGAGGTCTGAAGAAAATGGAGAACAGAATACTAGAAAAAAAAAAAGAAAAAAAAAAAGAAAAGAGAGAGGAGAAGATAAGAGGTTGAAAAAAAAATAGGAAGAGGAGAACAGACTATTGGGAGGGAAAAAAAAAGGAAGAGACTAAATGCCTTTTGTCCATGAACTTGTTATGGTGTATTGTCTCCAAAGGCTCTGAGACTAAATAAAGAACCAACATGACCAACATGACTAACCATAAACTTTGCTTCATGAATCTATTTCATAAACAAAAACAAATCAACAAATCAACAAAGTAAATAAAATCACAAAAGTTAATCACACTAGAACTTTAATATGACATTGAACCTGTTTCATAAACAAAAACACATCAACAACCAAATAATTCAAGTCACAAAAGCTAATCAACAAAAGCAACCAAGAACCACCAACCGCGACCCCACCCATTTTAAACAAAATAATCATCATCTGCATTCATGAAAATATTCTAGTTGATTACACAAACGTAACAGCACTTTAAAACTAAAGCTAAATAAAGTTTTTCAAGTTTTGCCTCTAATTGTTGTTATTACATCCCAAAAACTAGATAATATAATGACATCGTGAATGCACACAAAATAGGTAATGCCATTGATGCAGATTGAATTTTAGATAATAAATATTTTTATTTTATTATTTTAAAATTAACATTGTTATGGAATTATATAGTTATTTAGTTTCCTTATTTTCGTATTGCATTATGGTAGTTGCCAATTCTGGTTGTTTCCTAATTAAGTTTGGTCTACATTTTGGTAGTTGCTAATTCTGATTGTTTCCTAATTAAGTTAGGTCTATTTTTTTCTTATAAATAATGAATGTAAGCCTTAGGGCAAAGGAAGGGGATAGTTTTTTAAGAATTAATATATTTCAAGTTTTATACTCTTTTTATCCGACTTTGGGTATTCTTGCGAATCAACCATTGTTGAGCCTTTATTATTGGTATTCTTTGTGAATCAACGAGTCTAGAGAGGAATCTTACTTTCGGTATTCTTGTTTGAATCAACGGATTTTGAGATTATTCTTATTTCACGTTTCGCGCTGCATCAGCTGGTTTCAAAGCTTGCTATGTTCTTGCTTCATGCCTAGGAATCGTAGTGATGCTCAAGAGGTTCTTGTGGAAGAGGAGGAGGTAATAGATGATGATTCTAACTTGCTGAGTTTTTATAGTGAAAGACCGAGGAGAGATCATGCATTGAACAATTATAAAGATCACATGAACGAAATCACTAAACAGGATGATCTGATTAAATGGACTTTCACGTCAAAATTTATTCCGGATCCGATTATGGATTGGAGTAAGCCGCCAATTTTTTATGATGAACCATTCATTGATGGAACTAATAATATGTTTAATCATATTTTGTCTATTGGAAGCATTAATTAGAGTTATGGAAGGTCTGGTGTTAATTTTATTTATTTATTTTTTTTTGTGGAAGATCATATACTTGGTTTACATGAGTTTAATGAACATTCAAAATCAATTTACACTGTGGAGAATATTTTCTATGATCTATTTGAAGAGAAATTTCATGAAGAGTTTACAAATTTTAGTTTGAACCGTTCAAATTTGGGCTTTGATGAAGATGGGTTAAATTTGTTAAAGAAAGTTATTCGTTTAATTTTAGTAAACTCTTCTTTGAAGTTTAGATTTACAAAAATTAACTTCAAATACAAGGTTGATGTGGATAAGTGCAGATGTGCCAAGTTATTTCAAGTAATAGAAACTCGAGGATGAGTTTTCTCAAGCGGGGAAGAATGATGCAGATTGAATTTTAGAAAATAAGTATTTTTA